GTATTTTATTTTTTAAATAAATGTAACTTTCTATTTTTATATTTATATAAAAATGGGGATTTAGTTACAGCGCCACAGCGCTAATGTATAAACTGTACAATATATACATATATATAAATTATGTACAGTTTTACAGTTTATACATTCAGCATTTAAACCCCCCCCCCCAAAAAAAAAAACAACCTATTACAGTCTGCCAGCTTTGAAACTCCTGTTTTTAGATTCTCTCTGTTTGTGTGCCTCTTTACATATAATCCATTGGAGTATTTTGCTGGCTGTATATCCGTACATGTGGATTGTACCACTGCATGCTTTTATTATTGGATCTAATGCTAAGCTCCATTAAATGTTTTTATCAAAGTCTTACGTTTGGTGTTTCAAAATTAGACACTATTAGAATTCTCTTGTTTTCTTCTGTTTTATATCCTGTAGAGCAATGGTTCCCAATCCAGTCCTCAAGTACCCCCTAACAGTCCAGGATTTAAGGATTACTCAATTGTGTCTATGGTGTTTTTGGTAAAAACAAACAAACAAACAAACAAACAAAAACACATTAGACACAACAGGGTAACCCCTAAATTCTGGACTTGAGGACTGAGTTGGGAACCCCTGCTATAGAGTACCACCATATTCAAGAACTTTTTATAGAAGAAAATCATTGGTGGATACTTGGAGACTGTCACACAACAGAAATATTTCTCTATATCATACTCTTTTATTATTCATTGTTCTGTGGATCAACTTTATTAATTTATTGTTTTCTTTCACCCAATTTAAAAAAAATAGAATTTTTTTTTTACTGACCTTCAGGAAGAAATACACCTGAAAGATATTGAAAATGTGTATGTTTATTAGTAGAATGAGTATTTAACATTCCAATAATAGGCCCCTTACATTTAGTTTTTTTATGATATTAAAACTCATCCTCTTTTTTTGGAAGGGCATTTAAGAACGATCTCTTATTGATTATAAATTAAATGTATATTTCCATATAAGACACATGACAAATGAATGTCGGATTTTTATTCCAGACAATGGTAATGAATAACCCACAGTGCCGTGAGAATTATCTTAGACAATTCTATAACTTGGAATCATTTACTGTCTGCATGATGACATATGTTGAAGTCCCAATCGTATTAGAAATAAGTACTTGACAAATAACTTAAGGGACTAAAAGATGTCTTAATATGAGTTGCCCCAGGGAAGCCCCACATAACTGCTTTAAATCAGTCCCTTAAGTCCAATATCAATACAAAAAACAATTTCACGAAGATATATATCGAAACGCTCCTGCACAGTTACTATAACAAACCTAAAACTTTTCTAAAAAAATATTCATAACAGACAAACGAAGGTTGCATTCATTAGCATAAATGTAAAAAAAAAAAAAGAAAATTGTATTGAATTTAGTTTTTTCTCACTTGAAGCAAACAATGCTATTTTTGGAGATCAAAATTATAGAGTATTGTAAAGGTATAAGCCCAGTGGTCCCAAATTGCTATGTAAATTAGTGTAAAAATCACAGCTGCACCCCACATCAAGAATAGATCTCGAGCTTAACTGTTTCACTGCATATTTCAGAGGAACACAGGCTCTTAATACTGGGTCACTGTATTTTTAATGTTTTATTTTTAACAGAGACAAAATAAAGTATGTTTTAAATTGCTGTGAAGTGTCATCATTGTAATGGGTATAGGCACGGCGGTGAATTTTTACGCAACATATTATTAACCCATGTCCGAAATTGTACTTAGATTTATGCTATTAAATGTTTCATCAAATTCCCTATAGGGGCATGTTTATGACATTCATGAATTTGCACAACCGAGCCGTGTTCTGATTTATCAAGCCGTGCAAATGAATGTCCTGTTGGCAGCGTAGCCTTTTGGATTACCAAATTATGATTAGTCTTCTGTAAAAGTTTTTGTTAATGTAGAATCCAGGAAAATAATGTTTTGAAGCTTAGAAATATGTGAAACGGTAGGCAAATGATTTACTTTCAATAATTTTAAATATTAGTGATAGCATGAAATGTTATTTAATAAATACATTCCTGAATGCCTAATTTGTAATGGGCAAAATGCAGTATTACATGTGCTATTTCCCAACAGAGCAGTAATGTAATTTTATGAATTATTCTTAGTAATGTCTAAAAATTATTAAGGTAACAATGATGAGTGTAACCCCAGGGAGGAATGAGGTGACATCCTGTGGTAATAGTATGCATGCAACATTAGGCAGTAACAAATATAGCCCGGTGCTTAATCCTTTATAACTTTTCTAAGTTTTGTATGTACGTGATAAAATTTTGTATGTACGTGATAAAATTAATCCAATAGCATGAAACACATAACTATACCCACCAACGGAGTAATGGGGGGACAGACGGTACTTCCCATGCACTTAGGGTCACCCTATGACCATCTTTGATCATGGGCCCGCTCAGGAACTAACAGGGCAACCAGGTTCCCTTGTGTGTTAACTGCGTGTATATCTATATGTATATTTGTGTATAAGTGTTATCTGTGTGTGCATGTGTAAATGTGTGTGTATGTGCTATCTGTGTGTGTAAATGTGTTTATGTTATATATGTGTATCTATATGTGTATATGCCATTTATGTATATGTGCTATTGTGTGTATATATGTGCATCTGTGTGTGTATGTGAACATCTATGTATCTTTGTGTGTATGTGTCACTGTGTATCTGTCTGTAGGCATCAGTATGTATCTGTGTGCTAGTTTGTCCATGTATCTGTGTGTGTTATTGTGTGAATGTATCGGTGTGTGTATGAGTCAGTGTATATCTGTGTGTGTCAGTGCATGTATGTATGTGTCTGTGTGTGTTTCAGTTCGTATGTGCAGGGCTGTGTATGTGCATGCATCCCAGCAATAAAACATGAACTCTATATACAAACACATTCAAACACTAAACACAAGTACAAAACTGCTTTTTAAAGAGCAACAGTACATATATACCTACAACTGCATTCAAATGTCAACACTACAAGCAAATAAATGCATACATACATTCAAACACACAAAACATATTTATATTTGTCACCAGTAATTTATTTCTAACACATTTTACTGAGTAACCAGCCTGACCAGTAGCATAGACATTGCAATTATGATACCTAAGTTGCAACAGAAACCCCTTTCGTTTAGCAACAAACATTTTAAAATTTAAATTTTACATAAATCACCTTTTAGATTCATCCATCCTAATCAGCAATGTGTTTTATTATCACATTAAAAAGAAAAATGTACATAATGGGGAGGGGACACATAGTATCTATGCATGTCATGCTCACAAAACCTTTTCAAGAATGTGAGCAGGTGTAAGAACCAGGAGGGAATAGGGGGAATGAATACCTTCCAAAAAATTGGGTGCACCTCTTAAGATGACATGTGGGGCTGGGAATATTATCAAAGACTGATCCCCCCCCAGATTTTCCTTGGTTTCTATGCCAATTATTAAATATAAAGACGCTGTCTTTGTTTTGTTTTTTGTTATTTAAAGCACTGCACAAACAGGGCGTCAACTACTTGGAGGAGCTCTTGGGTTCTTAAACACACAATCATTTCATTTCATTTGCAATTCATGAGTCTGTTAACAGCACGTGGTGCAGTGGAGGGTTTGCAACTTTTGGCCTGGGGAGTACGAAAACCAAAATCATATCTTTGTGTGGACGGTTCTACCCATACTGAGCATCGACTAGATGGGTTTGACAGCAGTTGCTGGAGTTGTATGATGTGAAATCCTCTATCCCCGGAGATGTGACATCACGTATCCAAGCAACCTTCATCAGACCAGCACAGCATAATTGAGCATTGCCAATGAACAGTTCCAACGCATACCTCCCAATGTTACCTTTTGAGGAAGTGCAGTCCCTATTTGGGGTTGAGATCCTTCTGTCTCTCTTTTCTATGCCAGTGTCTGTCTTTTCTATGAGCTCGATATTGTTGGTGTGTCTGAGTGTATAACAGAGCTCCACAGCCATAATACTCACAATAATGTGTGTCTTTAAATTACAATAACCGTGGTTAGAAATCAGTCTGTGTAAAAAGGATACATTGTTACTCAGCATGTAGACATAGAAACTCATCATGGCCTGCTAACCTAGTCAGCCTTAGAAGTACCAGCTGCTATCAAACATCACCATGTCTGTCTGATGTCTACCAAATTTGCTTTCTTTTACAATTTTGATAACAAACTTTCTTTAAAAAAAGTTAACTTTTTTATTTTACTTATTGCATTTGTAAAGCAGTTTTACGTTTTTGCTTTTTGTGTTCGTCATTGTGATGGTTCGATCTTACTGTTTCAAGTATTTAATTAAAGACTGAAAATGCTCAAGCGATACAACATAAAAGGTAACAATAATTGTGTTCAAATATAAATGTATGGGATTTACACGTTCTAAAAACATATAGTCTTTAGTGAAACATTGTTTTGTTTAAATGGTGGTATTATCTTTATATGTGTGTTATTGTACCATACTGTTTATATGTTTATATTACTTTTTTGTGTACGAAATGCAATGTGCGCCGAAATGTTCACTCTCTGCTTGCCATTGGCCTTTGTGTGTGTAACATGAACCTCCAATTCTTGAAGTAGCAAGTAACTTTTTTAGCCTCCGGCTAGTAGCTTAGAAGTTGAAATTTTAGACCCCACTATTATCAAATATACTAGAAGTACAAGTGTTCTTCATTTACAAGCATACAAATTGCCTTTAAAAATACTTGCATGGGGAAAGTAATATTAGGTCAATTTTCATCTAATGTAAACTTTGACATTGTGGTTTTATTATTGATCTTTGAAGCCCTTCAGAAGATTTATTTCCGAAGCCAACTCATTCTCCTTGGATAGATTCTCATTGTCGCTTCATCACACCACCGTGTACATTTTTCACATAATTATCTGGTGACAAACTGCAGAATAAATGAGTCTTCTGCTCTCACGCAAATTGTTGCATTAATGGTGAAGGGAGGACATGAGAATGAAAGTTATAAGGTCTCAGAAAAATATCATTACTATGGTCTACCATAGGTCAGTGATACCAAGAGAAAATTATGGTGAACACCTAGCTTCACTTATCATGACTAAATAAGAAGCACCCAATCTATGGTAGGCAAGCACATTTGGTTGTCGCCATCTAAATCTACCCATCCTTTGGACTATAGTGCTAATATATCTTGTAGTAAGCAGCTCTGGTTCAATAAAATGGAGTTTGTGAAAGTGTTTATTGTAGGGAACTTAGCTCTAGAAATTATGTAACTGCTAAAACACATTTTGACCACTTTCTGGTAATAGGTCAAGCTAATCTAATTGTATCATGAGATACATTGTTTGTAAATGGCCATTTACGGGTTTAAATGTGATGATCAAATTTAAAAATGTATCAGTGAACATATGTGTTGCATTTTTATTCTTATATGGTAATTAAAAAAAACAAAAACATCTTTATTGTATAATTGATAGGCACATGTTTCTAAATTAGGGCACCTTTAAACAAAGGGCCACTTCCAACATTACATAGCAGGACAATTCATATGGTTAACATATAATAAATACTAGATACTTTCCACAACACATGTCAATCTTTAGTGTTGGTATTTTATGACATGTTATTTTATTCATTCAAACTATTATGAATGTGACAATATAATTTTATTCTGCATTGTTAAAAGAATAAACTCACGGAGGCAATTTATTTTATTTCAAATTCATTTTAATGGGACTAATCAGCTGTTCTTTTAGCCAAATGGTACATTATCGTTAAATTAAACAAAGATTTATATCTCAGTTGATTTTTGTGTTTTTATTCCAAAATGTCTATTTTAACTTCCATTTTGCAAGTTGGATTTCAAATCACCAATCATTGCTTGGCGAATAAACCCCAAAATTTCTTCATGTTCTTCGTCTGAAATGGAAAAAATTAAACTGAAACCATGTCATAATATTAAATATTTTAAATGCAACAAATATCATAGAATATTTTTCTTTTTAATGTATCCATTTTTTAAAATTAGCCACTCATGATAAAAAAAACAACCATCATATGGTTAAATTACAGGAGAAATGCCATGAGGGTTCTTATACTTCTTTGAGTTGTAAATAAAGCAAAAAATGATTGCTGTAGTTATTTTGTAGTAATTTTCTCTAACTTAAGCGTGCTATCTAATAAAACCACCAAGTCACAGAAATTGGCACTTGTTTATTTCATTTTTTATAAGGACAGTTTCTTTCTGTTGTAAGCTACATTCATATTGTCCCTCTTGTTTTGTATTATTTATTCTTCTATTGCTTTTTGTTTTAAATTCCGAAGTTCATGATTTTTCAATTTTTTTTATATATTTTATGCATGTTGATAAGTAATTTGTTGTTTTGCTTCAAAGATGCGTGTCTTACAAAAAACAAAAAAAAAAAACAAGCTCCTAAAATATTCTTTTCATTTACTACTAAAATTGTATGTTTTTGTTGCTTGTAGTCCCAGTGTTTATGCCACGGTTCTGGCAAAATAACTATTATATAATATGACACGTCACTCATCAATTCTTTTATGTTCCCGATAAACTCAGTGAATGGCTTGCCTTACAAAAGAATGCATTGGGAAAAAAAAAACATGACAAACAAAACAACGTTATTTTCTGTTTTATAAATAACTACAATAATAATTAATCTGAATAAATGGGTAATATGTAAATCAATGTTTTTAAAAAAAATACCCCTTCCCCCACTTATGAAAATAAAAATCTATTCCTCTTGACTTAATACATTAAAAATTAATGAAAGGATAGGAAACATATGTTTATAGATATAATTAAAAAGCACAAATACAAATAACATATGACATGTTGACTAGCTTCAGCTAGAAACATATGGCAGAGGCCACAAACACCCCCACCTCCCTGTCCCAATTGGGCCCTGACATCTTTATAATAATGATACAGTTGAGATCTCAAAAGTAATTTGATCTATTGCTTCAATATAACATTTACATGTGAAATACTAACTCTAAAGCTGTCAATATGTCTGTGATAGTAGTCACAATCACTGAGAGCATATGTCTAACACATCATGTAGGTCCCTGGATAACTCTTATGTTTAAGTCACCCTGTACCCATCTTAGGTGCAGGGTGAGTATTGTAATGTTATTTGGAGAATGTCTTGTGTTATCTGCTGTCTGGATTTGGGGCCTGTGTAGCGCCACCTGTTGGTTGCAACAATTATGTGCACTACCTCAATAGCTAGACCAGTTAATCTGCATATTCAAATAGATTTGCAATTTAGGGTTTATGCAGGCAGGGGTCATATTTTATGTTAGTCTTTGTCTCCCACACCCCTTTATAAATATTGTGTTGTATTTTTTGAGTGCCTGTTTGATTTCCCATTAGATTTGGTAATATTTATTGGATTAAATGTTTCGCCATAAGTTTAATGTAATGCGGATAGGGCCTAATACTAAGTGTAAATAAAGCAATACATGCTAGTTCCATTGGGAACTGTATGTCCTAGCTAGTTTGTTTAGGGATTCCAGTAGAAGAGTCTTTGGACCTGCTTGCTGGCTGCTTTAGTCCCTGGTACATATTACATAGGAACATATTAAGAATGAGCTAGGCCTAAAGCCTCAAGTATCTTTGTAAAGGCAGTAGTTGAAAGCTTACTATTTTACAACTGTCCATTGCTTATCAAAATGACCTGTCAGAAAATTCTACAGGCAGAAAGAGCACACCATTTTGAAATACCATAAGGGTTTTGTTAAGTTATTAAAAGATTTTTACGACAGTGTTCATTTAACCTCTTCATAACAGATAACATGCAAGGATTGTCATGATATTATTGGGTTTTTTTTTACGTTTCAAAGCATATATGTCAAGAAATGGATCAAATTCAAGACTAATTGCAAATGTGCAAAGGTAGATTTAAAAATTAGTCTGTAGAAACTGTTAAGGGAATGGATATTTGAAGGGAACTAGAAGAACTATTACAATTGTTATACTCATAGTCACTGTAACAAATGAAGGCACTGGTGCTTTAAATACATGCATGCACTTGTCTTTAGTTCTTTTTCCTATACTAATCATTGCTGCCAGTCAGTACGCTGGTGGTATGCTTCGATGATACTGTTATGACAGCATTTACCTGTATAGACAGGGTAAACACAAGCTACATTAGAATTCTTAGTGAAATAAAGTATGGAACATTGCCAAGACAGGGGTTAATTCACAGATTTTACCATTAACATGACGTAAAGTCATGATTTTATTAACAACACGAGGCGAGTATTATACTGCACTCTTTCTTTATTTCCCTCAGCAGCAGAGAAAAAATACAACATAAACAATATGGTAACAATAAATAGTCTGAGAGGTATATCTTCCTAGCAACAGGAACAGCCAATCAGATTCCACTCTCCAGCATAATAGGCAGTTTCCAATAAACTGTTTCCTCTTTCTTACGATTCCGAACAAGGACAACCATCAAACAGAAAAGGGAACACCAACAAAGAGAATGCCAATAAGGATACAATGTCAAAATTAAGCTGTAATAGAGAGGAGAAATATGGTAATATCCTAGCATAAAACCCTAGAACTGAATGAGGAGAAAATAGTGAGGGATCAATACCAGCTAGAGACATAATCCATTTGACTCAATAAGCCAGGGTAGGAGTAGACACTGGCCGATGCGGTTTCTGAAAGGAAACAAAGAGCTCGTGTTTTGATGGGTCTCGTAATGAAGAGGTGCGAAGTTCATCTGTTCGTAGGCATGCGACCAGACATAAGAGTGGATTGTCAGGGAAAGATGGATATAAAACTTTTCGGAAAGTACACCTTCTGGAGTATAGGAACAAGTGATAACATCCAGAGTTCTGACATCAGAAACCCCCTTACAGGAAATTAAACAGAGGAGCATAACTAGTTTTGCCGACAGTTGCTTCAGGGATAGAGAGGTTTTAGTTGGCCAGGATTCGAGAGAGTTGAGGATGATAGAAACATCCTATAATACTGAATAACGTGGCAACGGAAGATGTGCAACTCTGATACCACGTAGGAATCTACATACCATAGGATGGCATCCGACCAGGGCTCCATCCACACCTTGGTGTCCAGCAGATATGGAAGAATGGTAGAGGTTCACTGTCCGTTAGGCTTTACCATCATCAAATAGTGAGGTTAGGAAGTGGAGAGGTCAGAGGAGCCAAATTTCGTTCCAGGCACCAATGGGTCTTGATGAGTTGAATAGATTGAACCAGGATGATAATGTCTGTATTTGAGCCTTGGTTCTGCCTAAACAAACTTCTGTTAACACGGCCGACAGATGGCTCTGGGCTCTTCCGGCCACACCAAAAACCCTAGGGTTAAACACTTTGCGCATATTTGTTTGTGCTTTATCCAGAGCACTGAACATATGTACAAAAGAACTGAGCTCTTTGAAAAAATTGTCTCAGAAAAGGAGACCTTTGGCTTGAGCTCCCAGCTCGTTTAGAGCCTTGTTTACCAGTTTTGGTTAAATTTTCAATAATATAGATTTGAGATGCTCTGTGGCCATCGCAGTGTTGGCATTGCCAATTAAGAAAATTACTCTTTGGATCCAACCACGTATGGTGGAATGATCTATCTTTCGGTTGTCTTTGACACTTCAAATATCTTGGTTGCTGGGCCCAAGATATCCAAAACTTTATCCTGGCAGTTGCTCAAGGAAAAATCTAGGCCTTTATTAGGCTTCTAGCCCGTCTTCCCAAGGAATGTAATAATTTTTGGGTCAACTGCAGGTGACCTGCAAGCATCATCTTGGACCGTAGGGCGTGGGTATTCTGCCCATAATTTATCTCAGGTCACCTTATCTAAAGGCTTGTGTACTTGTGACGCTATATATCTTCTACGTGGTCTGAGGGAGACCATACTGCTGACCGTCGGTGGCACAGATCATCGGGGTCAAATAGGGGTTCGCCATGGGGATCCAAAACCTTAACTATGTCCCCTGAGGCCCCATGCTCTATGTCAATGTTAACGGGTTTAACCATACTAGTGTCTTGGGAAGGGTCAGACTCCTTGACTCCAATGTCAGAATCAGAATTCGATGGATCCTCCAAATCGTCCATATAGGACTCCTCCTCAATATCGCTGAGATCTGACACAGAATCTAGTTGGGTTGTTGCCCTCTTCCATAGTCTAGCCAATTTTGCTGGCTAGTGGCTCTTT